ATAGAAATCACTCTATAAGAATAGTCACACAGTGCAACAAATGATTTCAACTAAAGTGAAATATCCACTTACAAAAGCTCTCACAGCRGGCAGCTCTAATTACMGACAGCTTTCCAAAACCCTCATTATTAGCTTATATTCCTTCCATATCAACACTGTATTCACACTTTCTCATAGGCGAACAGCTCTACCAATGGACWCTTTTTTAGTTTCCCAAGTATGGGAGATTAACAGAGATTCATTTATTATCTTAAAATGCTTAATGAGTAGTCGAATGTTAAATGGTCATTCTTTGTTTTTATGTTTCTTCGCAGATTCAGAGAGAACTAGAACTAAACCCAGAAAAGAAAGTGAAAACAAAGAATCTAGTACATGTAGCTCAGAGAGGAAAAAATCTGAAAGTTCTGATGAAAAACCCAAATCTGAGACAGAAGAGAATAAATCAGACATAAAAATTAAAACTTTAGAGGAGATACTCAGAGAAAAAGCGCTAAAAAACCTYCATGAAAGAACTGCACTTAAGAAAAAAGCACAGATGGAGGCTGATAAGGCTAAGAAGGAAGGTAGCGATGACTCTCCTGAGCCCATTCTTAAAAGTGTGGTGTCTGTAAGCAAAGCTGAGTCAACCTCTTCTCAAAAAGTCTCAGAGTCAAGAGATCCTGATCCAGAAGTTGAGTTTATCCGTGAAAAGAAAGTCAAAAGCCCTAAAACCATCATTCTTGATATCATTGACCCAGARCACGAGTCTTCATCTTCAAAGACGTTACGACAAGTCAAAGTCCAAGAAGACAAAAAAGAAGAAACTYYAACAGAAAAAGAAGAAAAACCATYAGAMGAGAAAGATTCAAAACCARCTCCATCTTTAACAAATATAAAAGTCAAAACATTTGAGGAAATTATGGAAGAAAAGAGGCAAAGAAAGGCGCAGGAAAGTAAAGAAGTKGTYGAAGAGAGTCAAGAAGAACTTACTGAACCTCAAAGAACTGGTCTAGATAGTAAACTGTCAAGAAAGATAATAGTAGTGAAAAAAGATGAAAACAAGAAAGAATCTAATCCTAAACTAGTGGTTAAGAGAAAGGTGCTAACAACAGCAAAGAAAGGTATAGTTTAAGAACATTACAAATCACAAATCTGAGAATTATGTCAGTATAGTGTACAGTATTTGAGAAATGAGATGGCAAATATAAGAAGGCAAATTTAWTTTTACGAACATGCTCAGCCTGAAATCTTTTAAGCATCCATTAAASAAATAAGAACGCTGTCAGGCAGAACTCTAAAATGGATGGATGTACTTATATGCAGATTTTATAACATTCAATTTATGAATTTTACTTTTGAATCAGGTATTGCTAGTGGTGTTGATGTTGAAACTAAAGAAAAAGAAGACAAGAAACCAAAAAAGAAAACTTCTGAGGTTTGTGTTGCCAAAAATGCCTTTGTAGACATCAATTGTAGGTCTTACAACCTGAAAAAAGCAAAGAAAACAACAACAGCAATAACAAAACGAAAAATGTAAATCAAATTTGATATAATCTTTCTCCAATTGAATTCCATGTTTTTATTTCTGTCAGCCTAACGTAAAATTGGATTATCTGTAATTTGTTTGGTCCATCTAGTAGAATTTCCATTGCTGTTGTTAACATTTACATTATAGACTGACAGATTCATTTCTTTTCAAAGCTGAAAGAGAGGCCAAGTAACATAGTAATCAAGTCCTTTGATGAGATCATGAGAGAAAAAAGACAACGAAAACAAGAAAAGATCCAACCAGCACAACAAACCACACAGGAAATAAAACCACAGACCCAAACAACACAATATACCACCCAGGAAATAACACCAACCACAACTACAACCACCACAACAGTAAAAAGACCAACAATTATCAGAAGTAAACAGATATCAACCACCAATCCAAGGAGTTTTAAAACAAGGAAACTAAAAGTGATTGGACGTCAAGGTTAGGATTRGTTTATTATTATTACTTTATTGATAGAGTGCATTAATTATGTCCATGAAATACTTAAACAATTGCAAAAGGCTTTTGTACTTATAATTACACAATTTTATAGATAATTCTTTCATGCATTTAAAGTGCTACTTGCATGAAAATGGCCTTATTTCAAAACTTCAAGCAATACAAATATATGACTCATTTATATCTATTAAAAACAATTGCGGGAAAATATTTGTCTTGGAATTATCCCACATCAGAGAAATTTTGATTCAAAAGATGGAAGAACAAAAGGATTGAGTAGATGACGTCATCTACTCCAACATTTTTTGTCCAAATTATTAAGGATTTGCATGAATGTTTTTCTTGTAATCTGTTGCTTCATGATTATTACATCCATATGGATAGGTCTATTTGATTTCCAAGTCTTTTCTAATGTTTCGCAATTTTCGTCCAAGTAGCCCTTTAAAGGATCACGTGAATTCGAGAACCTCTTTGATCGCTTGTTTTGAAGTTGCCAAATGATCACATTGAAAATGGCTCTCTGGTCTCATATATCAAATATGGTGATGTCCCAGGGTTCTGTGGGAGTTCAGTGATTGCATTCCATCAAATGAACGTACAATAACTTGATTTCAATCAAGTAACTATCGTTATCAATCAAAACGAAAATGGTGACGTGCAGTTAACAATATTGGGTTGCTAAATACCTTGAATGTCAAGGTCCACTTTTACAGCCATTTGTTGCAGTTATGTAGTGCTTGAATTGCCCTAGTTCATTATGACGTCACATCAAAACATTCTATTGTTTTAACGCTAAGGATTATGGTCGCCAGAAGGGATCAGAGTGACTGCATTTCAAATAAAATGTACATGAGCAATCATTTTACAATAGATATATCAAAACACGATTCACTGACGTTCTACTTTAGTCGACAATATAAATGGGTCCAAATTTCCACTGTTTTTGAGCATCGGTTTCCGATGTAAACATACTGTGACGTCATAATGAAATAGGGCAATTGCTCAATGCAAAGATGTCTGATTTTGTCAATTTGATTAGGGAAATAGAGTGCTTGCACTTAAAGCGTGAAACAAATAGTACTAATTACTACTAATTAGCGTTGGTTATACAATAGGAAACAAAAGAATGTGTATAATCTATCACCTATTTTGTAGTATTTATATTTCAYGCATTTAGTGCGAGCACTCTATCAACTTAACTGACTTGTAAAAAAACAACAATGTATTGTAATTGTAGGTGCATCATCAAGCAACAAACCTAGTGAGAGTGTTTCAGAGCCTGCATCACCCAGCAAGTCCAGTCCTCAGTCACCTACTTCACCTAAAAAGACAGATCTGGGATCATTGCCTTCTAGTTGTTCAGCACCACAGTCCCCTACTTCACCAACAGATTTAGTCCCTTCATTGACTTCACAGAAACCTCTGTCATCTCATAGCGGTAGGTTCTTAGTGTTTATTGCCTGTAAGGGTTTCACTCCAAGGCTTCAGTGAATGCTAGCATAGGTTTCTTAGGATGTAACAGCTCTGGAAGGCCTAGTCACAGAACCTCCCACAGTAGTTTTGACATAAAGCCTCAGTAAATAAGTGATACAGCTACCAATCGGAATGCTTTTCCAATTTTGTTAATGTACAAAATGAAATTATTCTCAATTGTTTTACCAATCCCTTAACGATTAAAAGTGACAAAGAAAATGCGCAAGGCCTTCTGGTTGTTGTAGTAAAGTTGCACATCATTCAAATGGCTTATTCATCTCCGCATCATGTAATGAATAGGACTTCTTTTGTTTAGGTAATGATAGTGATGATGATGATAGCTGGGAAAATGAAGATCTGCCTGCTGTCCCCCTTGAAACACCAACCTTAGAAGGACCAGCAAGAATACCAGGAATACCTACTGATGATACCTCAGTACTTATTATTCCTGGTAAAGTTGTACAACCAGGCAGCAGTGTCTCACCCACTAAGCGACCAAGGTCCAGTTTGGARGAGGTGATTTACTCATTTATTTTCTGATGAATCCTTTTTGTATTCCTGACTAAAATACTTAATTGTGCTATTATACACAGTAATGGTCCAGTAATGTCTGGACTGTTTGGAAAATTGCATCATGGTAGTGTGCCTTCATTATATCTGTGAAATATTTTGTAAGAAATTGCACATTCATTAAGCTATAGAGGACAAAGTGTTCTAAAACAAATTACTTTAATTTAGTTTGCAAGCTATTTCTCCGATAGATTGAATGCACTGAATTGAAAAAAAAAACTACCAAGATAGCAGATGTCATCAAAGGCTTTTTTTGTTGTTTTACGAAATTTACTTTACTCAACGAAGGATTAACATCCGAAGAGTCAGCCGTTATTTCACCTTTTTTTTTTTTTTTTTTTTTTTTTTTGTACGGTGTTAACTTTATCTGTTTACACAACTGTTTATTTAGAAACACTGACACAGCTCACACTAGATTACCGTCATTGTAACAATCAGCCTATCTTTTCCCAAGTCAGTTTGTCTGTCTGTCTGTTTAGCTGTTTTTACTGATTATTTTGTAATGATTCTTTSTTTTAGTTATTTGGAGTTCCATGTGACAATACTGATACTAAACCAGACAATGATGACCAATCAGGTAATTCACAGTGTTTAAACCATCAATACCTTGAGGATTCCCTCGTACAATGCCAAGTAATAACATTATAAGACCTCATTCATATTTTGTTGAGTTACGAGTCACATTAGCTGTCCTCGAGTAAAATCAATTATTTTTTTTTTTACTTTGCCAACAATAGTCAACTTTAGATATTTTRGTTCGATGACTATGTACAAAAAAACGCACACGAGGCTCCGGAAAAACAATGGATAATCTTGATTTATTCTTTTATTTCACCATAGCCTCGTCTGGAGTTCTTTTGTGCATGGTCACTGAACCAAAATATCTAAAGTCGACTATTCAGGATATGAAACAAAATGAAAGTTTGATATTTTCCAGTTAAATTTGTCCAGTCTGGATAGCGGACATAGGCTACTTTTAATGATATTTTCCAGTAAATGTTTCTTTCTCRAACTGTAATATTATTTTTTAGACGATGAAGAAAGAAATGTCTCGCCACCCAAGAGAGTAAAGACACAAACCTATGACGATATTGTACAAGCTGTGTAAGTGTTTTTTATATTATTATTGTTAGCTCATGACTAAGTACACTAAATGATTAGCTCCCCGAAAAATAATCAAATTTACAATATATGTRTAATTTTTCATTTTTTTTATATTTTCAGAAATAGCGAGATGTCTAAAAAAGACGATTTTGATCTTGATCTAGAGGAAGAGATTGCTAACTTACCTGATAAACATTCTGATCATGGTAATGATACACTCAATGAGGATGACTTACTACTAGAATTAGAAGAAATGATCAACAATTAGAACWYTTGATCAACAATAAGAACATTCKATCAACRATTAGAACCCKTTCAACAATGAAAAAACACTTGGCAAGTACATGGGCARRCGTGTATTATATCCGTCCGTCATACTTTGTACACACAATCTGTATTATTTTCTCGATGGAAGGTTTGGTTGAATAGAACATATAAATAGAACATTTGGTCAGCACCTGGATTGGCACATCGAAGACGACTTTGGTCAAGTTTAAGTGCATGATTTGGACATGGATTACTAATCAGAGCTTCACTCGAAAAAGAGCTTAACAATCTCTTAGCCCAGCGTACTAGGCATCCATCAACAATAAGATTAGAACACTCAATCGGAAAGTCTTCGAAAACTCAGAACACTTAAAAAATCATGGAAAAAGACTCGACAATCGTGACTCAACGCTACTAAGTCAACATGTGGAACAATTCATGTGAATATCATTGAAAACTACTGAACATCCTTACATCCAATAGTACCAGTCAACAATTAGAACACTTAATCAGAGAGACACTGAAAAACACCGATCTAATTACAATCAATTAGAAGACTTGATCAGAATWTTAGAGGATAGTACCATATAGAATGTACATAATTAATGGAAACTGTAAATATTGGATACTCTTCATTCATACTTCAGCTGTAAAAAAAAACGATCATCTTTCACGGAAATTGACTTAATTGTCTTGATAAAAAGACGTTGTTGCGTTGATCAATAAAAACAAACAAACAGACACTTTAGACGAAATTAGAGGACTGGGCTGCTTACATCAATGGTCAAGAGACTAAGTTGGAARCTACCACAAATATATATTGAAGAGCAAGTGCGCGATTGAATGATCAGAATTTAYACAATTACAAACTAAAGACTAGAACAGGAATCAGCAACACAAAGCACAGGAGCGTACGCCGGGAGGAAAAATAACGAAAGCTACACCAACTTTATTGTAAAAGCTACTGTATGCCGTTTTGCATCTAGAATCAGACGAGCCTGACCTTGATATTGCGCAATGTATCTACTGAATTGCGCACAGTCAGTGATTCAGAAGATGAGCTCTGTGAAGGGCAGATGATGAGAAACAGATTGATCTTAATGCAAGAACTTCAACTCCAGAAGCTCGCTTTGTTCCTGGAACATCCTCTGTGAGCTGTTAAGAATACAAACCTTTGATTCGCGCACTAACACTAGAATTTGAACTGTCATGTCTTCGTTATAATTGGATTGAAGAACAAATTGTTTCAAAGAACTACCTTAAAAAATATTGAATACACATATTCATTTTGTTACAAGTGCCTCGACGAGTAGTTCAGAATTCTAAGATATGGTTCGCACAATAACACTGGAACCACCAACTGAGCTGTAGGATCATTAGAGTGAAGAACTAAAATCGTATGGAAACCCACGTCGCTTCAAGAACTGCTTATTTGAATGGATCGAAATGCAAATGGTTGATCACACAATACACAGACCTAAAGACAGGCTATGGTTAAATCAGTAAAAAACTATGTTAATAGAGTAAGGACTATTGGTGAACAGTCTGCGGTTCTTACAGAGAACACTTCCTGGAATGATTTCATTTTATATTAAATGCAGACATTGAGAACGTTGCTGATTATATTCATCACTCCAAGTCAAAAAGACAATAGCCAAACTATTTTGTAAACTTTCTACAGATTTCAGTGATATGATACTAGATGATGACAGCCTTGGAGCAATACATGTATGATTCATCATCTCTACATACATTTAAAGACGTTAGTAACCTCATCTGTTAATACTGCAAACTTACAAAGTGGACAATGCAAAAGCAGTTTTAAAAAGTTATAAGTATGAAACTTTCTAAACGTTAAAAAAAGTCGAACTTTAATTCAAAATAACCTCTTCAATCGCTACTTCTCTGAAAAATCACATCAGGAACTTAGGAACTTAACTTTAACAGAAGGAAATGAAAGGGACACTCGACGAATCTCCACTTTCTAGTCAGAGAATATTGCATAGTTTCTAAACTCTTCAAATCAAAAACTCTTATTGATAATTTTCAGATTGTGATGTCTCTAGTACGGGTCATATATTGTACAAGGTCAWGTGATCAAAGAAAATCGCCAAAACCTGACTGTCAGTATGTTTTATATTTTTATACTGTCTTTTGTAAGAAGGCTTCGTTTATATGTGAAATAAAAGTAATAAGTTGTTCATGTCATATCTAGAAGTACATACAGCTATTACAAAAAAAACTTGTGTGAACTGCTGAACGGATTTTGCATGGCCGAAGGGGACTGGTAACGCTGTTTCACTTGCWGTATACAGCAAAACCCAAGGTTCCTGTCAGTTGTGCAATCTCTTCTCGCAGCAATAATTGTGTGTGATAATGGTAGATGAGGATTGACAACACTCGGGGAATGGATCACGGCTTTTGGACATCTACAAGTGTAGATATAAGACCCGTTTTGTGATGCAATCCTCGTATAGTTATGAATTGGATACCTTAGATGAATTCGCCGGATCCCCCGGTCATTGATACTGTAGAGTACAGCCCTGTAAACAGCGTGCGTCACTGGACAACGCCCAGCATTTGCATAATTGACCTCTTCTTTCATTGACTACTACCCAAACTTGGCTAGTCAGTTCAAGGGGTTAGTCACAAGTGGCCTAAGGGACGATTATCTTCTTAAAAATCGACTTTTTGGCAAGTGCAAAGTTATAATAGATTATCGGGATAGCATTAAATCGCGACGCCTCGATATCACAGAATGTCTACACTGGATTGGCCTTAATTAATAGTAACTGTAGAGTGCACGACTAAAGGTAGGGTACAAAAACGAAATATTCCAACTTCTCTATAAAGGCTCAAATTCTGATACCGATTCAAAATCGGCGCAAGAGGTTATTGTTTGACTTTCGGAACTAAGTCCATACTGAATTCGAATAAATAGTGGGTTACTATATAAATTGATGATAAAATTAAGCGATAAAAAACTGTTTTTTAGAAAAAACATTTTAATGCACGACGTTTCGACGTTAACATAACGTCATTTTCAAGTAAAGAGGAATGGAAATTACAAAATGCTCATATATAGGAATAAAACAATAGGAGCTAACTTACAATTAAGAATATAAAGGAAAATATGTACAATGAAATATAATAAAAATAATGTGTAACAATGTAAAGTAAGAAAATACAAGTAAACAATAATACGAAATATACTCAAATTACTCTCAAAAATTGGAGTCGTCTTTCCGTATCTCTGCATCCCTCCCTTCATATTTGGCGGTTTTGGGACCTTCAGCTTTCATACGAGCTGTATGCTCCCCTCCTTAGCTACAGGCTGGCTTGTTGAGTGCGCGATAGCTGTRCTCAGGAATTGAGTACCAAGTAKTCACCAAATCCTTGTTTGAATAAAAGTTGTGAAAGAAAGAGTGAGACTAACTATTCTGTGTCCTATGTATTGACTTGGGCTACCTGTGGTATCCCTGCATGCTTGTCGTGCCTCTACCTTGGATGGAAGTGATGGATATGAGTTCGGTAAGTATTTATCACAATATTGAATAATATTATCTGCTACAATTCAATAATTGCTAACATATTATTGACAAGCAAGTTTTAGATTTTGTAATTTGCAATTGTTTAATTACCAACGGTCAGAAATCGATGCTCAAAGGACATGACTTTGAATTTAATGCACGCGCACCCAGCCATCGCGTGTGTGATTCGAAAGAATGTCTGTCCAATARATTATAAAACTATTGGACTGCTAAGAACTTAAAGGACTCCAAAAAGCACATTTTTTAACCTATACCAAGTTATTTGAAACGGTACACTGTCAGGGTTGCATTAGTCAAATCATTATATATGCAACTTGCTTTGTTATTGAATTTCGAAATATAAGTTAACTGGTACTAGGACTGGCAAAAGTGGGTATCATTTGAAAAAAATCTATTCAAACTGTATTCACTTTAGACCAAATTGAACTTGATAACTAGCTTGTATATAAAATTGTTTTAGGAATTGTGGTTGATTTGGTGGATAGTTTTGTCAAATCTAGTCAAATATTATAATAGAATTGTGGTTGATATGGTGGATAGTTTTGTCAAATCTAGTCAAATATTCTCTAATGCATCAAACACATGAATTCAGCTTTATCCATTTCATCAGTTCCTATAAAAGAAGCAAGATTTTGTCTTTTTGTATTCTCTTCAGATCTTCGAGTAAAAGTCTGTCAAACAACTTCCATATACTAGTATATAATGGATGTTCATATGCAATGGTTTGAAACTTAATACTCATCCTCGACAAAATCTCTTTGCAAAGTTTCTAAGTTCTTCAAATAATATATAGGGGCATATATAAGGGGCTTCTATGTATAGATCAGTGAGGTGTACATGCGCAACCATATATGGAAGTGGTCATTGTTTTTATTTTAAGGGTCACGTGGAGCACAAACTGCACTATAAATTTTAAACATCAGTCTTACAGTACAACCTTCTCTTCTTTCAGGGTACAATGATATGATAGTTACAAAGAAACACACAACATTATTAGAGTTTATTAACTAAAAGCAATACAATCATTCATACTTCACATTTATCTAATATCAATGATTAAAAATCACTTTATTTTATGTTATGACCAAGAAACCTGTCCTGGTTGCTGCTGGATGTGTTGCYGTTGCTGCTGTGGGCCTRGCYGCCTACTTCATCTTCAGGAAGAAGAAAAAGTTGATAGCTCTTGATCCTCAGACTAAAATACCATTCAAGCTTATTGACAAAGAGGTTAGATTGTTCTTTTGCATATAAAAATATCCTTCCAGTTTATTGAAAAACACACTTAGTTTGATCATCAGATTGTTCCTGACTATGGTTTAAGTCCCTTGCAGCCTACTGCCCATTTTGTGTGGCTTTCTGTCCCTCACAGGAATTGCGAGAAGGGGTTAGGCTGTGAAGGAGACTAGGTTTAAGTTGTAGTAAAAGTCAAAGGTTAAATTGCAGATGTTTTGTAAAATAATAATAGACAGTGAAGCATCTTCAAAAACTTGTGTGTATTTTGTGGTTTTGTTAGGCTATTCCAGTATTTCCAATATTACAGTTTGTTTTGATTTATAATAGATTGTCAGCCATGACACTAGAAGGTTCAGGTTTGCTCTCCAGTCGCCTGAGCATACTCTTGGGCTCCCTGTGGGTAAGCTGAATTTTTGTTACATAATTGATGGACCGAGGAAAAAAATGCTGTACAGGGCTAAGTGCTTGAAATCCTGAAAAGAACACTACATGTTTAAGCATTATGTTCTACAGAACTCTCCATTCTCATACAAAGATCCTTCTCAATTTTCCAATAGAAAATCAAAGGCTCTGTTTAGAGACAATACCAGAAAATCCAGAATCTGAGACTACAATATCAGATAAAAATAATAATGTGTCACCAGAGCCTCTGATTTTCCATCGGAAACTGAGAAGGAACTGGGTACAAGAATACAGTCTTGTAGATGGACAATAACTAAGCTAATCAATCAATTTATTGCTAATGTATGATTGACATTGTCAAGGTAACCATATGTACCTGTCAGCAATGATTGATGGTGGGCTTGTCATCAGACCATATACGCCAGTCACCTCTGATGATGAGAAAGGTTTTTTTGAACTTGTTATTAAGGTATGTCAGCACAAATATTACCTGCAGAAGAAGTCCAAACCTAGCTCGTTAATTCTTTATGTTGCTCTAAATAGATTGTTATAAACCTTCAAGCTGGAGTCCAGATTCTCTAAGTATATTATACTTGACGCAAAATAATGATAAAAAGATACCTACTAGTAATTCTTTCATTTTCTTCAACACTTGATACAATGCACAAATAATATGCATGGATGTAACACAAATAATACTATTCTCAAAAAGTCAATTGATAACAGACTATTGACAATAATCAATAATCCATGTTTGAATTCAAAGTGAACAACTGTTGCTTTATTTGACAGTAAATCCTCTTGAGCAAAGATCATAACAAACTCAAAGAAAGCATGAGAAAATGTTGTTATTACAATAATCTTGAGAATTTTCATTTTCCCCAAGTTGAGACTAACATTGAAGAGAATCTGCTGTCAAATAAAACTGTGGTTATTCGCTTTGAATTTGAAAATGGAATATTGTATTTTTTATAGATCTACTACAAGAATGTGCATCCTAAGTTTCCTGATGGTGGCAAGATGTCTCAGTACCTAGAGTCCTTAAGGCTGGGAGACACTGTTGACATACGAGGTCCTGCTGGAAAATTAGAGTACAAAGGCAGAGGTAGGAAATGATATGATCTATTCTATGATTTTGGTGTATAAGGTGAGCAATGGTTTTGCATGCTTGGTAACGGAATACAGCTATTTCAAAAAATACTGAATACTGTGTGACACTAACCTGTGTACATTCATTTCCATCCCTCTCTCCCTAGGGGGGAGGGGTGGGAATGAATTTACACAGGCTAGTGTGACAATAATAACTTACATTTCAAGATCAAAATGCATTGTTGCGGTTAAACTCCATGGTAGCTGCATTACAAATTGTCAATTTTATAAACTTAAATGCTTTCAGTTAAAGTTCATCACTGTATAGTCTCCTCTTGCAGCCATTAGGATGGGGGGAGTGACCTGGGAACGAACGTCCTAATGGCTGCGAGAGGAGACTAATCACTAGGTATGGAGCTGGTACAGTGTCCTTCTGCAAACAATGATAAAATGGCAACCTACAATGCATTGGTGATTGTAGTCTTGGACACTATCCAGTATCAGTAGGCCATATTTTCTGAAATAGTTGTATTCAGGTCTTCTGCTTTTAGGTGATATTGGTATCAAAGAAAGTTACAGAAAACCAGAAATCATTCGCAGTGCAAAGACGCTTGGACTCATTGCTGGAGGCACAGGTACAAATACTCCTACTCTTACTTCAGTCTATCATTKTTTATCCTGCTATATTCTAGTTTTGATGCTTGTTGTGGTTAGAACATRGTCTGAAGCCAAGAATGATATTACGTCTTTGAGTCTTTTGATCTCTAGTCAGAGTGTATTAACCATATAACGTGAAAATATAGTTAATCCCTTTAGTGTTGTTTAGTTAAGACTACAACAATGTCATTAAACTAGTGGTAATCTAGTATGAGCTCCATTGCTGTTCCTAAAAAAAACAGTTGTGGAATAAGATAAACTTTAGCACTGTAAAAAGTAGGTGACATAACTTACTGACKTTTTTAGTCCACAAACCATTTCACAGATATAGTGTATGCATTTAAAACAATGGATGAAATCCTTCATCTTCTATTGTTGTACTACTATGAATAATACATGTATCCTATAAAAGTCTGTGTTTAAATGAATGGTTTATAATTAATGTATTCTGTTATTCCTAGGCATCACTCCAATGCTTCAAATCATTGCTGCAATAGTTAAAGACCCTCAAGACAAGACTCATGTATCTTTGCTTTTTGCAAACCAGGTAATAAGTAAAAGCTAATCTTGGTTCTGTTCATTATTATACTCTTTGTCATTCTTTTCTTATTCCAGTTCAATTCCCTCTATCTTTCTATCGAGAGCCCACACTTTTGCCATCCAGCAGAAGCCAAATAACATGGGTCAGCAGACAGCTGACATAAGCTGTGAAGACTATGGGCTCAAAATTTGTTTACCCTTCTAACTGCATCCTCTCATAAATTGTTATTAACCATATGAAATTTCTAAATTTCTTTCCAATTTTTCTYCCATYTCTTCCAATGCCCACCTAAATGCATTACATTATTTCCATCAGTCATCCCTCCTTKYATTTTTTCTACTTCCCCMTTTTTCTTCCTCTTTTGTTTTCATTYTTTCTGTTCCATGTCTTCTCTTTCTGAATGTTTGATTCTTTTATAATATTATAATACTTTCCCAGTAACGTTTTGATATGTTGTTTTTTTCTCACAATAGACAGAGCGAGATATCTTAGTTCGTGATATGCTGGAGGATTTGGTCAAGAAAGAGGGTTCCAATGGTCGCTTTAAACTTTGGTACACTCTTGACCGACCACCAGCCGAAGGTGAGATTATAGTGAATGATAATGGCGTTTAATCAAGAATTCAAGAATGAATCTCTTTTGCTATTTATCTTTAGATATTAGAGCAAACGCAGAAAAACCATGAAATAAAATCAAACTAAATACTAACAAATGGCGGCTATTTAGGCCCTGTTTACGAGATAGGGTGCCCCTACCTAGTAGGTCTAAAAAAAAAGAGTTTGGCTCTACACCTAGGGGCACCCTATCTCATGTAGGGGGCCTTAGTGACAAATTGTGAGTATCAATGAACCAGAACGCAATAAGATGAATGAAAAATGGTCCCATGTGGATTCATCTTCATTGTGTTCTGGTTCATTGATACTGAAAATTTGTCTCTAATTAGCCGCTATTTGTTAGTATTTAGTTTGATTTTATTTCATGGTTTTCCTGCGTTTGCTCTATAATGGATATTTGTAATTTTTGTCAGGCACMGTTCATTTGTTCACTTCATGATTGACAGATATTTGTTGACCGTCAGGTTGGAAGTACAGCGAAGGGTTCATTAATGCGGATATGATTCAAGAACACCTCCCCCCACCGGGACCAGACACGCAAATCCTTATGTGTGGCCCACCCCCCATGATCAACTATGCTTGTATACCAAACCTTGAAAAGCTTGGATATACAACTGATATGTACTATGCTTTTGGTTAATATTACCGGGCCATACTCCTGAATAATGACTGGTGTGAATCGAATATTGACCGATCTACAGCTGTTCCAAAAAGGGTTAACTACTKCTTACTGAATAATGTGATATTAAGCAAAACTRTTAGAAATAACTTTTTCAAATATTGTAGAGTTTTCTACCAAAATACAAATCAACGAAAATAATGTAAAACCCCACTTCATTAGTTGATGTCATTTGCATTTTCAATTTCAAATGAATATAACTCAGAAAATAGAAGTCTAATTCATTTTTTTTACTCGCAGAGTATCAGCATATTCCCTCTAAGATGAAAATGATTTTTTTAGGGACCATGGGTCATTGTCGATTGTAGTTTTAATCATTATCGTATTTACCTATTTCAAAAAGGTTGTCGGATAAAATGGCAATTGTAGAACGGAAAATAAGCGATCGAAAGGAGACATGGGTTTTTCTTAAAACATATATGTAGTTGTCTCTAGCTTAGTTTTTTATTCAGACGTTTCGATCTGCTCTCAGATCTTCTTCAGTGGGTTTTTYTTGTTGACTGGTAAATAATTAATTTGTACTGAAGTTAGTATTTTGTAAACACTAGATCCATCTAATCTCCATTTCTATTCAAGGTAAACCCAAAACGTTAAAGGTTTGTAAAACAATGTAACCATAATCCATTTCGGTCATGCAACTTTCCGTTCRACAGTCTTCATTCGCCTTTCTAAGCGAATATTTTTTTTTGCTTGTTTTTGTTGGTTTTTTTTTATTTATATGTTTTTTAAATAGGAGAAAAGGCCTGTGTGATAGCTAGACCTAGGCAGTAATCACTATTCTAATATAATAATAATAAATATAACTGCAGCGTAGCGTTGGGTGTGTTTTTTTGGGTGAGGTTTCCTTTGTAGTTGTTGAGATGACATGTCCGTTAATTAATGCGTGGTTTCTTTACTACGGATTGAGCATTGTAATAGCGGTTGAGAGGTGTCCGTAATAGCGAGGTTTCCTTAATAGCGGTTGATAGTTGTCCGTAATAGCGAGGTTTCCTTAGTAGCGGTTGATAGTTGTCCGTAATAGCGAGGTTTCCTTAGTAGCGGTTGAGAGTTGTCCGTAATAGCGAGGTTTCCTTAGTAGCGGTTGAGAGTTGTCCGTAATAGCGAGGTTTCCTTAGTAGCGGTTGAGAGTTGTCCGTAATAGCGAGGTTTCCTTAGTAGCGGTTGAGAGTTGTCCGTAATAGCGAGGTTTCCTTAGTAGCGGTTGAGAGTTGTCCGTAANATTTATCTAATATCAATGATTAAAATCACTTTATTTTATGTTATGACCAAGAAACCTGTCCTGGTTGCTGCTGGATGTGTTGCCGTTGCTGCTGTGGGCCTAGCCGCCTACTTCATCTTCAGGAAGAAGAAAAAGTTGATAGCTCTTGATCCTCAGACTAAAATACCATTCAAGCTTATTGACAAAGAGGTTAGATTGTTCCTTCATATATAAAAATATCCTTCCAGTTTATTGAAAAACACACTAGTTTGATTGTTCCTGACTATGGTTTAAGAGTTCTTTTGCTGCCTACTTCCCTTTTGTGAGGCTTTCTGTCCCTCACAGGAATTGCGACAAAGGGTTAGGCTGTTAAAAATAATTTATTAATGAGATTGATTTTCCTGCGAGTGGTCTATCACAAATTAGACCATTAGTAGAGTAGCCAATCACAGCGAAGTATGAGTGATAAACCATTGATATGTTTATACTATAAAAATAATGATAGTGCAAGGCTCGAAATAACGTCCGGACCTACGCAGGACATAATGTTCCAAACACTTTTTTGGAAGGTCATGATTAATTTTAAACATAGGGCTGGTAAATTATGTCCTTTCAAATTCTGATTTGACAGGACATTTTAACAAATTTGGAAGGACATTGTCCTTTGACCTCCCCTTATTTTGAGGCCTGATAGTGTAAGGAAGGATCTTCAAAATCCTGTGTGTGTTTTGTGGTTCTTTTAGGCTTGTAGGTACAGCAGACTATTCCAGTATTTACAATTATAGTTTGTTTTGATTTATAATAGATTGTCAGCCATGACACTAGAAGGTTCAGGTTTGCTCTCCAGTCACCTGAACATACTCTTGGGCTCCCTGTGGGTAAGCTTCTGTTGACTTGAATTTTTTGTTACATAATTGATGGACTGAGAAAAGAAATGTTGGACATGGCCAATTACTTGAAAACCTGACAAAGAACACTGGCTCCATGTTAACCATTATGTTTTACAGAACTCTCCATTCTCATACAAAGATCCTTCTCAATTTTCCAATAGAAAATTAAATGCTCTGTTTGGAGACAATACCAGAAAATCCAGAATATCTGAGACTACAATATACTGATGGCAACTGGGAAGTTTTGAACTAATCAGATCAAAGACTCATTTTGGGACGCATGGGTGGCCGAGCGATGAGAGCGCTGGCCTGTCAACTCTGTGGACCCTGTTTGAATCTCGGTCGGGGCGCCATATGTGATTTGAGTTTCTTTCGTTCTCTCCCTTGTGTCGAGGGTTTTTCCGGGTCTTTCCGGGTTTTCCTCCCTCAGTAAAAACGAACCATTTCTATCTGCTGTGCTCCGCGTTCAGTCGTTCGTTGCTATGTAAAGGAAGCGCCTAGCCGGCAGCATGCCTATGTATAAGTGTCTGTAAAATGTGTCTGTAATATAGCACTTCGACTTGAGAGCACATCGAGCTGCGTCTTTCGCAATTCAGCACCCATGCTGCCATGAAGGACGATTAGCACCCAACACCTTTTCCTTTGTCTCCAACCATAGCCTTTGATTTTCCATTGGAAACAGAGAAGGAACTGGGTACTAGAATGAGAACTCTTTGCAATCTTATAGATGGATATCAAACTATTTATTGATATTGCTAATGTATGATTGACATTGTCAAGGTAACCATATGTACCTGTCGGCAATGATTGATGGTGGGCTTG